TAAAAGATTTTTTAATATGCCAACTCTTGCTCAACTTGTTAGACGTAAACAAGAACGTCGATTAAAGAATGAAGAGAAAAAAACGCCGGCTTTACAAAATGCCCCTCAAAAAAGAGGTGTATGTCTTAGAGTATATACAAAAGCACCAAAAAAACCAAACTCGGCAGTTCGAAAGTTAGCTAAGGTAAGGCTTTCTAATGGTTTTGAAATTATCGCCTACATCCCAGGAGAAGGACATAATCTTCAAGAACATTCAGTTGTTCTTTTAAGAGGTGGCCGAACTAAAGACTTACCTGGGGTAAAATATAAGATCATCCGTGGTGCATACGATGCTCAAGGCGTTAAAAACCGTCGACAAGCTCGATCAAAATATGGTACAAAAAAAGCAAAATAACATGATGCCTAAAACTTTGTATAGATACTCTCAAGAACAAAGAAAACAGAAACCTGCAGATATTTTAGCGACAGATTCAGGCTTTCAAAGTAATGAAGTTTATTTAACTTTTGTCCAAAATTTAATGAAAAAAGGCAAAAAATCAACAGCAGAAAACTTGTTTCGAAAAACTTTGCAAAATTTAAAACAAAAAACTAAAAACTCAGAGAATGTTTTTGTCGTTCTTGAAAAAGCCGTAAAAAATGTGGAACCTTCTTTTTTCTTGAAAAAAGCCCGTTTGGGAGGCACTTCTCAACAGATTCCTGCGGCTTTGGATAAAAAAAAGAAAAAATCGACATCTATTCGTGCTCTTATTCAAATTGCTACCGAAAAGCAGAAAAAAAGTACACAGCGTAAAGATATTAAGTTAGCTTCGACTTTCACGCACTTTCTTGCTAACGAACTTTATGAAGCTTCACAAGGTCTCGGTTCGGCACTACAAAAAAGAGACGAACTTCATAAATTGGCAGAGTCAAACAGAGCTTTGCTTACTCAACGGTGGTGGTAATTGGTTTATTTATGAATTATTAATAATTCATAAATAAACCCACTTTTATACGAGAAGATCAAAAGCAACTAAAATACCCGCCACAAATAATACCCAGGCCAAGGAAAGGGGTAAAAAAACTTTCCAACCCAATCTCATTAATTGGTCGTAACGATACCTTGGAAAAGCTGCTCGTACCCAGATATACAAAAACAAAAAAAGAATCGTTTTGAGACCGAGCCACATGGGACTAGGAATCCAATAAAATAAAGTTAGGTTGAACGGTGGCAACCACCCCCCTAAAAAAAGGATTACACACAGCACGCTCATTAAAATCATATTCGCGTACTCGCCTAAAAAAAATAATGCAAAACCCATCGACGAGTATTCAACATTATACCCAGCAACTAGTTCAGCTTCGGCTTCCGGGAGATCAAAAGGTGCTCGGTTTGTTTCGGCTAAACACGAAATAAAAAAGAGGAGCAACATTGGAAATAAAGGCAACCCGAACCAAACATTTTTTTGTGCAAGAACGATCTCTGATAAATTTAATGAACCCACACAAAGAAGCACAGTAATAATGATCAATCCAATAGAAACTTCGTAGGAAACCATTTGCGCTGTTGACCTTAATGCGCCTAAAAAGGCGTATTTCGAATTACTTGACCATCCAGCAGTAATTACACCATATACACCCAGCGAGGAGATGGCAAAAATATATAAAATTCCTAGATTCAAATCTGCCAAAACAACGCCTTCATCAAATGGGATAAAAGCCCAAGAAGTAAGAGCTAATAAAAAAGTAAGTACCGGGGCAGCCAAAAAAATGACGGTGTTTGCACTACTCGGTAAAACTGGTTCTTTTAGTAAAAGTTTTAATCCGTCCGCTAAAGGTTGGAGAATACCAAAAAACCCCACTACATTTGGTCCTTTACGTCTTTGCATCGACGCCATAACTTTTCGTTCGGCGAGCGTCAGGAAAGCAACCGCGACCAATACAGGAACAATAATTCCCAGAATTTTAATAAGACTCGATAAAATAAGAAGCATAGATATCTACCTTTTTTAACGTAAAGCAAATACCCCTTACGGGAATTGAACCCGTGTCTTCGCCATGAAAAAGCGATGTCCTTACCACTAGACGAAAGGGACAGAAAGGAGAATAGTTCCAACGGTAGAACAGTGGTCTCCAAAACCAAAGGTTAAGGGTTCAAATCCCTTTTCTCCTGACATATGACGTGCCTGTAACTCAACTGGATAGAGTGCCAGACTACGGATTTGGAAGTTGAGAGTTCGAATCTTTCCAGGCATAACAGTCGAGCCTATAGCTCAGTTGGTTAGAGTATACGCCTGATAAGCGTATGGTCAGTAGTTCAAGTCTACTTAGGCTCATCATTTGTGAGACGTTTGGGATATTTTTTATATCCCAAACCAACCGCCGTTGTCTAAAGTCTAAAAAACTTTAGTGTAAATGAATTGCATCGTTCAAATAAATACATGTCAAAATTGTGAAAACATAAGCCTGCAAGCATGCAACACCAACTTCTAAAAACATAAGAGCGAAAACAACTAAAAAAGGGATCGCCGACGCCATTTTTAGTAAACCTGCTAATGAAAGCATACTCCAAGCAAAACCACTTAAAATTTTTACCAGTGTGTGGCCAGCCATCATGTTCGCAAATAAACGAACCCCTAAGCTAATTCCACGAAAGCAGTAAGAAACTAATTCAATCACTACTAAAAAAGGCGCCAGAACCAAAGGTGCACCCGGTGGTAGTAAGAAACTGAAAAAATGAAGCCCGTGGATTTGAAAACCAATAATTGTTACCGCCACAAAAATTGCGAAGGATAATGTAAACGTAACTAAAAAGTGGCTTGTTGTCGTAAAACTATAAGGCACCATTCCAATCAGGTTACTAAAGAGAATGAATGTAAAAAGAGTAAAAATGACGGGAAAATATTTTGTCCCTTTTGGGCCAATTTGTTCACGGACAAGGCTCGTTACAAATTCATAAATCATTTCTAAAAAAGATTGCCAGGGTCCCGGTACTAAAGTACCCCCATTCACGGTAACTAAAGAAAAAAGAGCTAAAAAAATTCCAGTAGCCAAGAGCATAAATAATGAAGAATTAGTAAAGGAAAAATAAAAATTTCCAAAGTGTAGAGGAATCAAAGAAATAAGCGTAAATTGTTCTAAAGGCGAGAAACACATCATAAACAATTCTTTTTCTGCAGAATACATTTTTTATGTAGACTGGACAAAGTGTTTAGGTTATTTGTTCACGGTTTGAAAAAAGGTTTACTTATGTCAGAAACAACACTTTTTTTAGTTTTTGCTACATTTACACTCCTATCGGCGTTGATGGTTATTAGGTCAAAAAACCCTGTTTACTCTGTTCTTTTTCTTATTTTAGTTTTTTGCAACGCAGCGGGACTTTTGGTGCTTTTAGATTTAGATTTTTTTGCGGTTGTTTTTTTGGTCGTTTACGTAGGGGCGGTAGCTGTTCTTTTCCTCTTCGTAGTTATGATGTTAGATATTACAATCAGTGAAGTAAATGAAACCTTTTTACGTTATTTACCTATTGGGGCTTTCATCGGCTGTATCTTTCTGATGGAAGTTTTTCTGATGTTAGGGAGTGAATTCACACCAGTAAATATGCTACCACAAGATTTTTCCTTATCAAAAGCAAATACTTTTCAAATGTATTTACAATTTTTTATTTCTTCTGTGCCTGTTTTTTTGTCTACACTCTTTTTCAACCCTTGGTCGCTTTCACAGGTAATCAAACAGTGGTGGGCTCATTCAACGGAACTTCAAGAGCTTTTACAACAACTCAATTCTCTAAAGAGTTCGGAGCATTTTGTAGTACAAGAGTACACCCTTTGGCCCGAAACCATTGAAAATATCACAACAATTGAAGCTTTAGGTCAAGTTGTTTATACCTATTATGCTTTTTTTTTCATCGTGGCCAGTTTTATTCTGTTAATTGCAATGATTGGGGCAATCCAATTAACTTTGCAAAAAGAAACTCCTTCAAAAAAACAAGAAGCATTCGAACAAAATGCTCGAGATTTTACTAAGACAGTGGTGAAAATTACTCATTAAAATTCGTTGAAAAGAGGTCGACGCCGCTGGCGAAAGGCCTCCCAATCTTCAGTAGCTCAGTGGTTAGAGCGAATGGCTGTTAACTATTAGGTCGTTGGTTCAACTCCAACCTGAAGAGAGTTGCTCGCTCTTTTAAGAAAAAGATATGATTATGCGTTTTCTCGTTACTTTTTTTCTTTGTCTAGCTCCACGCGTTGCATTTCTGGATGCACCGGAAGTTTGGCAGTTTGGTTTTCAAGACCCTGCAACACCAATTGCTCAAGGAATCCAAGATTTTCACAATGATGTATGTTTTTTTATGGTTGTCATTTTAACTTTCGTTTTGTGGATGCTTGGCCGCACTATTTGGCATTTTGACGCAATCAAAAACCCAGTGCCGTCAAAAATTATTCATGGAACCGTATTAGAACTTGCTTGGACTGTGACGCCCAGTTTTATTTTAATGATTATCGCCGTCCCTTCTTTTGCTCTTCTTTATTCCATGGACGAAATTACTGACCCCGCAGTCACTTTAAAAGTAATTGGGCATCAATGGTATTGGACTTATGAGTACTCAGATTATAGTACTGCCGATGATCAATCTATTATCTTTGATAGTTACATGGTGGCGGAAGATGACCTTGAACTTGGTCAACTTCGTTTATTAGAGGTTGACAACAGAGTTGTTTTACCTGTCAAAACACACGTACGGGTTCTTATTACAGCTGCAGATGTTCTTCACAGCTGGGCAATTCCTTCCCTTGGGGTCAAATGTGACGCAGTGCCCGGACGCCTCAACCAAACATCTATTTTTCTAAACCGAGAAGGTGTTTTTTATGGGCAGTGTAGTGAGCTTTGCGGGGCTAATCACGGTTTTATGCCTATCGTAGTCGAGGGGGTAGATCTTGAAGATTATATTTCGTGGATTTCAAATAAAATTGAAGAAATTTAACCGGCTAAAGGGTGGTAAGTTTTTAATCAAATTACCACCTTATACGTAGCACAAAAAAAGATGTTAAAGATGAGTATTTCAGTTCAAAAACACCCATTTCATTTAGTAGATCCTAGCCCTTGGCCAATTTTTGCCTCTCTGGCGGCTTTCTCTACCACGGTTGGCGCGGTTCTTTTCATGCACGGTTACCAGGGAGGTAACACTCTTTTTGCTTCTGGCTTTTGCATGGTTCTTTACTCAATGTATGTTTGGTGGAGAGACATTATCCGTGAAGCTACATTTCAAGGGCACCATACCAGAACGGTTCAAATTGGTCTAAGATACGGTATGTTGTTATTTATTGTATCCGAAATTATGTTTTTCGTTGCTTTTTTTTGGGCTTTTTTTCACTCAAGTTTGGCCCCAACCATTGAAATTGGCGCCGTCTGGCCCCCAAAAGGTATTCCAGTATTGAATCCTTGGGAAATTCCTTTTTTAAATACGGTTATCTTATTGACTTCAGGGGCTTCTGTTACATGGGCACATCATGCTCTTTTAGCAGGTGCAAAACAACAAGCTATTTATAGTTTGGTTGTAACCGTTATTTTAGCAATTGCTTTTACTTCTCTTCAAGTGTTTGAATACATTGAAGCCCCTTTTACAATTGCAGACGGAATTTACGGGTCAACTTTTTTTTTGGCGACAGGTTTTCACGGGTTCCACGTTTTTGTGGGGACTGTTTTTCTTGGTATCTGTTTAATGAGAGTTCTACAAAACCATTTTACAAAGCACCACCATTTTGGTTTTGAGGCAGCTGCTTGGTATTGGCATTTTGTCGATGTTGTTTGGTTGTTTTTGTTTGTAGCTATTTATTGGTGGGGTGGTAATTAGTATTCTTAATATTTAAGGGAAATTAATTTCCCTTAAATATAAATTAACCTAAGAAAAGAAGTGCTACTTTTTGTGTCCATAAAAAAGCTACATTTGGATAAAGAAAGAAAAATACCACAAAAAGTGTGGTTAAAGTAATTACCCAAGATTTTTCATGATCCATTTTAACGTTTTGGAAAGGTTGTTTTGATTGGTCAAAGTACATGGTTTTAATAACTCTAAGATAATAAAAACAACTAAGCATACTGCTTAAAATACCGAAAACAGCTAAAAAATAAAGAGAAGAGCTTAAAGCTGCAAAAAAAAGGTAAAATTTACTACAAAAGCCCGCTAAAGGTGGGATTCCAGCCATTGAGAACATAGTAAGTGTTAAAGAAAAAGCCAGGAGGGGGTGGCTTTTTGAAAGCATACTCATGTCTTCGATATATTTAACATTTTGACCAGTTTGCTCGTCGCGTAGAGAAAGAACGATCGCGAAAATGTTTAATGTCATTACGGAATAAATACAAAGGTAAAGCAACACAGATTGCACACCCTCCACAGTACCAGAAGCAACACCCATTAAAAGGTAACCCATATGACCGATCGAACTATAAACAAGTAGGCGTTTTACACGAGTTTGAGACACTGCACCAAAAGACCCGATAAATAAAGATAAAAGGCTAGACACGATTAAAATAGATTGCCATGAAAAAAGAAAATCATAGAAACCTACCAGGAATAAACGCAAAAAGACAGCCATAATAGCTAATTTAGGGGCAATTGAGAAAAAAGCGGTCACACTTGTCGGAGCACCTTCATACACGTCAGGGGCCCAAAAATGGAAAGGCGCGGCTGTGAGTTTAAATAAAAAACCAACGGCAATAAAAAGAACACCTACAGAAAGGAAACTTTGTGTCTCCATCGCGAGGGACCCACCAACGCCAGAAAAAAGTTTAGAAAAACTTTGAAACCCGGTTAAACCCGTTAAACCATAGAGAATCGAGCAACCAAAAAGTAAAATACCTGAAGAAAAAGCGCCAAGCAAAAAATACTTTAACCCGGCTTCCGTAGAAAACTCCGAATTTCGTTTTGAAGCCGCTAAAACGTAAAGGCATAAACTTTGCATCTCAATAGCCAGATACATAGAAATAAAGTCCGAAGCAGAAATGAGTAAAAGCATACTGCAAGTCGAAAAAAGAAGTAAAAGGGTATATTCAAAATCTTTAAAATCTTCCGCTTGGAAATATTGTAAAGAGATAAAAAGAGAAAATCCTGATCCTAAAAGTACTAAAGTTTTAAAAAAAAAACTTAAAGGATCCATAATAAGCGTCGCGTAAAAAAAAGTCATCGAGGAAAACGGTAAATTTTGCAAAAGACAAAAAGTACAAAATAAACAAAAAAGACCCAACCAAGCAACGGTTTGCATCATACTGGGACTCTGGTGTTTTTTTGAGGTACTGTAAAAAACCCCAAAAAGCAGTAAAACGAGAGTACTTAAAGTTAGGTAAAGCTCAGGTAAAATAGCATAAAAATCATTTTCAAATAAATGTGGAAAGTTCATAAGGTGTTTTCATTTTTTAAGAGGCCACTTTCGTTTAAAAAAGTGGCGCTCTAGAGTAAAATAGCCTCCTTCGGTTACCCTCTCCATTGACCATGCTGCACAAGATTGGCCACGGAGGTGTGCATTGGTTCTAAAAAAACTTCTGGATAAAACCCCATCCATAAAACACAAAACACAAAAGGTAAGAAAATAAAAAATTCTCGTCGATTCACATCCATAAAAGTATCAATAAAAAAAGGTTTTAAATTACCGAAGACCACGCGGTTATAAAGCCAAATCGAATAGGCCCCACCTAAAATCATTCCCGTTGCGGCAAAAGTTGCCACAAAAGGGTTGGTTTGAAAAACACCTACAAGAATTAAAAATTCCCCCACAAAACTACTTGTGCCAGGTAAGCTCAAATTTCCCATGGTAAAAATAAGGAAAAAAACGGAAAAAAGAGGCATGACGTGCACCAGACCACCGTAGTATTTTACTAAACGGGTGTGCGTGCGGTCGTAGAGAACACCAATACATAAAAATAAAGCGGAAGCCACAAACCCATGGCTTAGCATTAAAAATAAAGCGCCCTCAATTCCTTGGATATTTAAACTAAAAAGCCCTAAAGTCACGAATCCCATATGAGCCACGGACGAATAGGCAATAATTTTTTTCAAATCAATTTGTCGCAGAGTCGTCAATGAAGCATAAATTACACCAATAATGCTCAGAGTATAAATGAGAGGGGTAAAATAAACGCTGGCTTCCGGGAACAGCGGAATTGAATAACGCACAAAACCATAAGTGCCTAACTTTAATAAAACTCCTGCCAGAATAACTGAACCTGAAGTTGGAGCTTCCACGTGTGCTTCTGGTAGCCAAATATGCACAGGAATCATGGGTACTTTTACGGCAAAAGATGCAAAAAAAGCAAACCAAAGTAAAAGCTGGCGTTGCAGACTAAACTCACTTACAAATAAAACTTGAAGGTCGGTGGTACCGGTTTGAAAATAAATGAGTAAAATAGCTAAGAGCATAAATAAAGAACCAATCAAAGTGTATAAAAAGAATTGGTAAGCAGCTCTAATTTTTCTTTCTCTAGAGCCCCAAACACCAATGATTAAAAACATAGGTAAAAGTACACTTTCAAAAAAAACATAAAAGAGTAAAAGATCTAACATACAAAAAACAGCCAACATAAAACTTTCCAGAAAAAGAAAAGCAATAAAGTATTCTTTTACATTTTTTTGTACAGAATCCCAGCCCACCAAAAGACAAAAAGGGACTAAGAAGGTTGTAAGTAAAATAAAAAAAAGAGAAATTCCATCAATACCGATATAAAAATGCATGTTAAGGAAAGGTAGCCAATCCACTGCATTCACAAATTGGAACTTCGCGGTAGAATGATCAAAAAAAACCCAAAGCAATAAAGAAAGCACAAAAGTGATAAATGAAATAGTTAAACCTAGAATCCGAATTAATCGTGTCTGGGAATTTGGCACACATAAAAGTACCAAGCCTCCTAAAGCTGGGAACAGAAGAATAATAGAAAGAAGACTTTGCATAGCCAACTCTTTTTTTTTACCAAAAAAGGGGGTCTACACCCCCTTTTGGAAGATTTATGAATCAGCAGAAAAAACCAAGGTCGTCGCTGCAATAAAATAAAGATGCGTTTCTACAAAGAAAGAAAAAAAATCCCAAAGACCCACAAAAGCAATGAGAAATGTTAAACTGCAAAGCATAATAAACGCATAATGGTAAATAAGCCCACTTTGCATTTTCCGTAATTGACGACCCCCTTGACTAACAGTTTGGATGACTCCTGCCGGACCAACAATTTCGAGAAGTCCTTTATCCAGAGTTTTAAAAGACACATTATATCCAAAAAAAAGAGCTGGAAGAGCCACAAAATCTGTATACATTTTATCAAAAAGCCAACGCTTGTTTAAAAAAATATACAATGTACGCCCAAAAGTGCTCGTTTTCAAAGAATAAGAAAAACTCGCGCCGAGTAAGTTTAAATTTAAAGCAAAGAGGAAACCTAAAAAGCTAAATAGAATAGGGATGTATTTGATGGCTTGAGGGATATACTCAGATTCAACCAAAAGCCCATGATCAGGACCCATAAATAAAGCATTCCCCCAAAATTGCGTTCCCATACCAATCATCATGTCTTTCGCTAAATATCCAACAAAAATACTCCCAAAAGCGAGTAAAAAAAGTGGAAACCCCATTAAAAAAGGTGCATCATGAACATGTTTAAGAGAATCTTTAAGAGAATTTACTGGCCCAATAAAAGTCAAAAAAAGTAAACGGAAAGAATAATAAGAAGTAAAAAGTGCAGAAACAGCACCAAGCCAGTAAGTAAAAGTACCTGCTACGGTATATTTAGCATAAGCCACTTCTAAAATAACATCTTTCGAATAAAAACCAGTTAAAAAAGGAAACCCGATTAAGGCTAACGAACCAATAAACATCATTGAGTATGTAAAAGGTAATACTTTAATAGTTCCTCCCATTTTACGCATATCTTGCTCGTCCGCCAGGGCGTGAATGACTGCTCCGGCACTTAGAAAAAGAAGTGCTTTAAAAAAAGCATGATTCATTAAATGAAAAACACCAACGGCGTATTGAGAAATTCCACAAGCAAATACCATATACCCTAATTGACTACAAGTTGAATATGCGATAACACGTTTTAAATCGTTTTGCACCACACCGGTAGTTGCCGCAAAAAATGCAGTTAATGCGCCAGTGACGGTCACCAAAATTAAAGTTTGCGGTGCTTGCTCAAAAAGAGGGGAGCATCGGGCAATCATAAAAACACCAGCCGTTACCATGGTTGCAGCATGAATCAAAGCAGAGACTGGGGTAGGCCCTTCCATGGCATCGGGCAACCAAGTATGTAAACCCAACTGAGCAGATTTCCCTACCGCCCCAACAAAGAGGAGAGCACAAATTAAACTTAAAGCGTGCCATTCCAAATGGAAAAAAATGAAAGAGTTTTCTGCAAAATGTGCCGAACACGCAAAAACTGTTGCAAAATCAACGGATTTAAATAAAGAAAAGGTCGCAATAATACCTAAAGCTAAACCAAAATCTCCCACGCGATTGACCAACATTGCTTTAATTGCGGATTTGTTCGCTTGCAATCTGGTATACCAAAAATTAATTAAAAGGTAAGAGGCCAGACCTACACCCTCCCAACCGAAAAATAACTGGATAAAATTATCAGCTGTAACCAGCATTAACATAAAAAAAGTAAAAATTGACAAATAAGACATGAATCTGGGCAAATGTGGATCTTCACTCATGTAAGAAATAGAATAAATATGCACTAAAGTACTCACAAAAGTTACCACGACCAGCATGACGACAGTTAAACTATCAAACATAAAACCCCAAGTGGCATCAAAAAACTCGGAGGTAAACCAGGGTGCTAATTGAATATAACAAGGACTTCCAGCAATACCAACCTCATAAAAAGCGATAAAAGAAAAAAGAGAAGACAGAAAAACACAAAAAGTGGTAATAAGTGGTGTACCTCTCCAACCAAAAAAACGACCACCCGAAGCAGCAAGAAGAAAACCTAAAAGTGGTAAAAAAAGAATTGTTAAATACATTTCGAAAAACTTTTGTTGAAACAAAAATAAATTCTAATGTTTAGAAGTGGATTTGAACCACTGACACAAGGATTTTCAGTCCTTTGCTCTAACCAACTGAGCTACCTAAACAAAAAAAGGTTATACTATGCAGGAAGAAAATTCATTTGGCGAATTAGTCGAAAAAAAAGCGCACCTTGGGGCAACACCGGTTAATCCTACAATGTTCCAATATCTCGAAGGTTACCGCGGAAAAACCCCAGTGATCAATTTGACCGAAACTTTGTCTCTTTTACTCAAGACATTGGCTTTTCTCAAAGTGTTACAGTCGCAAAAACATCAAATTTTGTTAGTGAACTCCGAACCAAAATATTCGACGCTGGTCCAATTTTTAGCCAATAAACTCCAGCAACCTTATGTGAATGAAGCTTGGATCGGTGGTTTATTAACCAATTGGGACCAGATGAAAACATCAGTTGGGGCTTTCCAGAAGTTTAATTCATTTTTTGAATCATCTCTACAGCAGCAACAAACACCTTTTCCAAAATATTTGAAAACAAAAAAGAAACTAAAAGGTGTAAAAAATATGCAGCAGCGCCCCGCAGCATTGTTTTTGTTCCAAACACTTAATAACGAAAACATTGTTCGCGAAGCCAAAATTTTAAATATTCCAGTCATTGCACTTGTAGAGACCTCTACTCAAGTAAAAAATATTGAATACCCAATCCCATTAAATAACCAATCTATGAAAAGTGTATATTTATTTTGTCAATTATGGTGGTCTTCGGTTCAAAAAAAGTAAAATTTGGAGTAAAAGGGTTCGAACCTTTGAATGTCGGTATCAAAAACCGATGCCTTTCCACTTGGCTATACTCCAAAAAGTTTGGGTTGGCGGTACGCACCCACCAACCCGACAAACACGGTGCAGACTCTACGCACGGGCAGAACCTTGCAGCAGGGAAGTTTCAAATTTACCGAGAAAAGGAATCGCGATGAGGAAATAAAAAAAGAAATACACCGAAGCAAGCTGGCCAATGAGGACATAAGGGTCTTCAACCGGCTGGCAACCAATCCAGCCCAAGAGGAGAGCATCCGCCACAAAAAGCCAAAAAAGTTTCTTGTATAAGGGACGAAACGTTGCACTCCGTAAGGGAGAGGTGTTTAAGAAAGGCAGCAAAAGCAAAGAAACAAAAACTAACCCAATCGCTAAAACACCCGCCAATTTATTGGGGATGCTGCGCAAAATTGCGTAGACCGGTAAAAAATACCACTCCGGAACAATGTGTGCGGGGGTGGACATCGGGTTGGCCGGAATATAGTTATCCGGATGCCCGAGGGTATTGGGCGCAAAGAAGATAAACCACGAAAAGAATAGCGCAAACACCACCCAACCCACGAGATCTTTAAAAAAGAAATACGGGTAAAAAGACACTTTGTCGACCGTTGCTAGGCAACCTAGGGGGTTATTTGATCCATATTGATGCAAAGCTGCCAAGTGCAAAATACTCGCACCAGCAATAATAAAAGGTAAAAGGTAATGCAAACTAAAAAATCTATTTAAAGTCGCATTGTCGACGGAAAAACCACCCCATAACCAATGTGTTACATCAACACCAACAACGGGAATAGCACTCGCCAGACTTGTAATTACAGTAGCTCCCCAAAAACTCATCTGCCCCCAGGGAAGCACGTACCCAATAAAAGCGGTCAAAATCATAAGGAGAAGGATGACCACCCCCAGAATCCAAACAGCTTCACGAGGGCTGGCGTAACTCCCGTAGTACAAATTTCGAAAAAGATGTAGGTACACCACGATAAAAAACATGCTGGCCCCGTTGGCGTGCATATATCGCAGAAACCAACCACCCTCAACATCTCTCATGATGTGCTCTACACTGAGAAAAGCTAAATCAATATGTGGGGTATAATGCATGGCCAGGAAGATACCAGTAAGAATTTGTAAAACCAAACAAATACCCGCCGTGGAACCAAACCCCCACCAATAACTTAGATTACTTGGCGTTGGATAATCAATTAAGTGTTCATTTACGGTATTTAACAGAGGTTGTTTTAATAAAGATAATCTTTTCATAAAAGTTTTTTTTCTTGATGAGCAAAGCGCCGCCAAGCTGGTCTCTCATTAAGAGAGCCTTGGTCTGTTTTACTCTGACGGTACGGGTCATTTGAGCTCTAAGGGTCATTTTAGTACGAATCAGCTTCTTTTTTTCAAAAGGTTCACGCTTCGCCTATTGACGTGAGAGACTTTCACGTGGGTCTAAGAATTTGTCTTGAAAAAAGTTTCCCATTTAAGATGCTTTCAACGGTTCTCCTCTCTCAACGTAGCTACCCGGCAATGCTCTTGGCAGAACAACCAGTGCACCAGAGGTTGAACATTTCCGGTCCTCTCGTACAAGGAAATGGTTTTCTCAATTCTTCGCGCGCACCCCAGGTAGAATCCAAACTGTCTCACGACGTTCTAAACTCAACTCAGGTACCATTTTTATCGGCGAACAGCCGAACCCTTGGGACCTTTTTCAGCCCCAGGATATGATCAGTCAACATCGAGGTGCCAAACAATTCCGTCGATAAGGGCTCTTGGGAATTATTAGCCTGTTATCCCTAGCGTATCTTTGATTCGTTAAGCAAAAGTCTTTCCACGCAGCACTTTTGGATCACTATGGCCGACTTTCGTCTCTGCTCGAGGTGTCACTCTCGCAGTCAGGCAAACTTTTACCATTACGCTCTACAGAAAGTTTCCGTCTTTCATTGAGTTTACCTTCGCACACCTCCGTTACTCTTTGGGAGGCGACCGCCCCAGTCAAACTGCCTCATATACAGTGTTTTTGAACCTTGTTCAAATAAGGAACTCTTCTTAAAAAGGGTGGTATTTCAAGGTTGTTGTCAACTCCCACCTATCCTACACAATTTAAGCTTTTTTCCAGTGTAAATGTACAGTAAAGATGCATAGGGTCTTCTCGTCTTGGGGCACGTTCTCCGCATCTGCACGGAGAATTCAATTTCACTGAGTCCATACTGGAGACAGTGGGGCAATCGTTACGCCTTTCATGCAGGTCAGGAATTAGCTGACAATGAATTTCGCTACTTTATGATTGTTATAGTTACAACCGCCGTTTACTAGGCCTTCTCAATATACCAAAAAAGCATACAGGTTAAGCTTCAAGCACCGGGCAGGCGTCAGACCCTATACTTCATGTTCCCATTTTGCAGAGTCCTAATTTTTTAGTAAAAAGTCGTCACCCCCATTTTTGTGTCACCAAAATTGGCTTCCTTTCTTCCAAAGGTACAGGAAAAATTTGCCGAGTTCCTTCAATATGGTTCTCTCAACGCCTGAGTCTACTCGACTCGTTCACCGGTGTCGGTTTAGGGTACGGTCAATTTTATGAAGATTTTTCCTGGAAACATTAGAAACGAAAAAGCTATCCAATAAACTGTTGGTTTCTAAAAAACATTTCGTCATCTTTCATTTTTTTCATCGTGGTTTTTTATCAAAAACACACTTAGAGACCGGATCACTCTGCGCTGAAAAACAGAACGCAGAAACCCTTGAACTTACGGCGATCATGATTGTCACATGATTTTTCGTTACTCATGTCAGCATTCTCACTTTTGAATCCTCCAAAGTTTTTCACAAAACTTCTTCTACGGTCTACAAAACGCTCCGCTACCATTGTTCTCTGTCGCTTGGGTAATTTTGTGAAGCCCCGATACATTATCAGTGCTTTAAAACTCGACTAGTGAGCTATTACGCTTTCATTATAGAATGGCTGCTTCCAAGCCAATCTCCTAGCTGTCTTTGTTTTAAAACGCCTTTTACCACTTCCAAAATGTTTAAGGACCTTAGCGAACAGTCTGGGCTGTTTCCCTTTTGACTTAAAACCTTAGCACTTTAAGTCTGTCTGCTCAAGATATCAAAGAAAGGTCTTCGGAGTTTCAATAAGTTCAGTAAGACTTTGGATCCCCTTTACCTAATGAGTGCTCTACCCCCTTTCTACATCGTTGAACGCTTTACCTCAATAAATTTCGCGGAGAACCAGCTATCTCTAAGTTTGATTGGCCTTTCACCCCTAGCCTCAACTCATCTGCGTCTATTGCAACAGACGTCAGTTCGGCCCTCCAAAAGCTTTTACCCTTTCTTCAGCCTGTTCAAAGCTAGATCACTTAGTTTCGGGTCAAATAAAAAAAACACACGCACTCTTCATACTCGCTTTTGCTTTGCCTCCACTTCGTCGTTTAAGCCTCGCTTTTTTTATTTACTCGCTGACCCATTATGCAAAAGGTACACCGACCTCCCGTACAGAGAAAATCGATTGCATGGTTATTTTTTGTTTCAGGTTCTCTTTCACTCCTTAGTTAAGGTTCTTTTCACTTTTCCCTCACGGTACTTGTTCACTATTGGTTTCAAAAGCATATTTAGACCTAGAAGGTGGGCCTCCTGTATTCAAACAAATACTTTCGTTTTACTCTTTTGAACACACCTTAGAAGCCACGTCTACGGGACTTTCACCCTCTTTGGTAGATTTTTCCACATCTTTCGGCGGTGACTTTCCAAGGTGTTTGGTCTTTTCCATGTTCTCTCGCCGATACTTACGGAATCTCGGTTGATTTCTTTTCCTTGGGTTACTTAGATGTTTCAATTCACCCAGTTAAATAAAAGCCAGTGGTTTCCCACGGAGGAAATTTATACCTCACCGAGTGCACTCTAGGTATAACGTTTCGTTTTGTACAACGTCCTTCTTCTTTTGAACCAAAGCATCCACAAAAAACTGGTATTTAGAATTTGTTTGGTCGCTAATGAGAGGGGGATTCGAACCCCCGACCATCGATTTATGAGTCCGAGGTTCTACCAAACTGAACTATCTCATTGGAGACCTGATCAACGCAGCCCTCTTTTCCCGGAGAAGGTGGGTCTGAGATTGTGCAAGTGGGTTTGTGTGTGGGTGTTACTTATTGGCGACACCCACGTTTTTTTTGTCTTCCAAAAAGGAATCAGCATCGTTTAAGGCGCGGACTACCAGGGTATCTAATCCTGTTCGCTCCCCGCGCTTTCGCACCTCAGTGTCAGGAGTGCACCAGAAAATTGCCTTCGCATTAGGTATTCCTTCCAAAATCTAAGAATTTAACCTCTCCTCTGGAAATTCTATTTTCCTCTTACACCCTCAAAGAGAAGAAACCGTCTTGAATGCACACCCAAAGAAACCCTTTGGACTTTCACAAACAACTACATCTCTCCACCTACATGCCCTTTACGCCCAATTAATTCGAATAACACTCGCTCCTCCTGTCTTACCGCGGCTGCTGGCACAGAATTTGCCGGAGCTTCTTCTTTGATTCATGTCAAAGTCTCCAAAAAACGGTGTACCGTTTTTTTTCAATGAAAGGGTTTTACAATCAATATAACCTTCGTCACCCACGCGATATAGCTGGATCAGGCTTGCGCCCAGTGTCCAAGATTCCTCACTGCTGCCTCCATCAAGAGTTCGGGCCGTCTCTCAGTCCCGATGTGATTGGTCGTCCGCTAAGACCAATGAAAGATCATCGACTTGGTAAGCTTTTACCTTACCAACTATCTAATCTTACGTAAGCTCATCAAAAAACGATACCAGATATCTTTACTCGTCCACGAGATATTGAGGATTGACCCACAATTTTTTGGTAGATTCTTACGTCTTACTCACCCGTACGCCATGTTGTACGACAACATTCAACTTGCATGTGTTAAGCTTATCGCTAGCGTTCATTCTGAGCCAGGATCAAACTCATAAAGTTCTCGAACATTCATGTTCAATTTTTAAAAAAAAAGGAGTCTCTCCAGCTACAGGTTCCCCTACAGCTACCTTGTTACGACTTCACTCCAATCACCTCCCTAACTCTAGAAAAGGTTCCAACAAAGACACAGAAAAAAAAGGGAAGATGTTTTTTTTTTAATTGCGCTGTGTGTTCTTGGTGAACTTCTTTTGCTTCAAGGCATGAAAATTTTCAGAGTGTGACGGGCGGTGTGTACAAGGCTTAGATACAAATTCACCGTAGCGTGCTGATCTACGATTACTAGCGATTCCAACTTCATGTTCTCGAGTTGCAGAGAACAATCCGAACTAAGGAAACTTTTTGGGATTTGCTCAATGTTGCCATGTTGCCTCCTTTTGTCATTCCCATTGTAGCACGTGTGTAGCCCAACCCATAAGGGCCATGCGGACTTGACGTCATCCTCACCTTCCTCCAAGATATCCTTGGCAGTCTTTGAAAAAGGTAAACCTTCATTTCAAAGGAGGGTTGCGTTCGTTCTGGGACTTAACCCAACAGCTCACACCACGAACTGACGACAGCCATGCAGCACCTGTATAAAAGAGACAGAGCGGGTAAACACCCTGGTTTTTCATATGTCAAGGATTGGTAAGGTTTTGCGCGTTGTTTCGAATTAAACCACATGCTCCACCGCTTGTGTAAGCCCCCGTCAATTCCTTTGGGTTTTAGCCTTGCGGCCGTAGTCCCCAGGCGGCTGATTTCATGCGTTAGCTCACTTTCTGAAATTTGGACAAAAAAGGATTTAGAGTAAAAAAAGGGGTCGAAAAAATCGACCCCTTGCTCTTCCAAAACTGAATTAATTAACGTAAAACAGGGTGTGAAGAAGGCTCCTTAATCGCCGGAATTTCTTCAAAAGTATGGAAAGCCGGAGGAGACGCCACCGTCCACTCTAAAGTTGACGTTGTTGATTCACCTTCCACTGCCCATGGGTTAATACCACACTTTTCACCTTGTGTTAATGTTGCGTAAACAACATAGAAAAAGAAGAGGCTGGCTAAAATTGATAAATAAGAACCATAACTACAGATCAAATTCCACCCTGCAAACGCGTCAGGATAATCTGGGATACGTCGAGGCATACCAGCGAGTCCTAGAAAATGCATAGGGAAAAAAGTGATATTGACCCCAATAAAAAATAACCAAAAATGAATTTGGCCAAGAACTTCTGGGTACTGGTAACCAGAAATTTTACCAATCCAGTAGTAAAAACCCGCAAAAAGAGCAAAGACCGCACCCATAGAGAGCACATAATGAAAATGCGCAACCACGTAATAAGTGTCATGTAATGCAATATCAATCCCAGCATTGGCCAGAATAACACCGGTCAGACCACCAACCGTAAATAAAAAGATAAAACCTAATGCAAAAAGCATCGGCGTACGGAAGGTGATGGAACCACCCCAAGCCGTCGCAATCCAACTAAAGATCTTAATTCCGGTAGGAACCGCAATAATCATCGTGGCCGCGGTGAAATAAGCACGAGTATCCACATCTAAACCAATAACATACATATGGTGCGCCCAGACAATGAAGCCTAAAACACCAATACTTAGCATTGCATAAACCATACCTAAGTAACCAAAAATGGGTTTTCTTGAGAATGTACTAATAATATGGCTCACAATACCAAAACCTGGAAGAATCAAGATATACACTTCCGGGTGTCCAAAAAACCAAAAAAGGTGCTGGAACAAAATAGGGTCACCTCCGCCCGCCGGATCAAAGAACGAGGTATTGAAGTTACGATCCGTTAACAGCATCGTAATCGCTCCCGCTAAAACCGGTAAAGAGAGAAGAAGTAAGAAGGCCGTAATCAGAACAGACCACACAAATAAAGGTAAGCGATGGAAGCCCAGACCAGGCCCACGCATGTTAAAGATAGTGGTAATAAAGTTAATCGCCCCTAAAATACTGCTCGCTCCAGATAAATGTAAACTGAAAATAGCTAAATCAACTGCACCACCAGAGTGGCTCGTAATATGACTTAGAGGAGGGTAAACCGTCCATCCTGTTCCCGCACCAACTTCGACGAGAGCACTACTTAAGAGTAAAAGAAGAGAAGGTGGTAAGAGCCAGAAACTAATATTATTTAAACGTGGAAAGGCCATATCCGGCGCACCGATCATGATTGGGACAAACCAGTTTCCAAAGCCACCGATTAAGGCTGGCATAACCATGAAAAAGATCATGAGAAACGCGTGCGCCGTCACGATGACATTATACAATTGGTGATTTCCTGCCAGAATCTGGTTTCCAGGCTGTGCCAATTCCATACGTAAGAGAAGAGAGAACATAGACCCTAGGACTCCAGAGAATGCACCGAAGATAAGGTAGAGTGTACCAATATCTTTATGGTTCGTTGAAAAGAGCCAACGGTTGATGAAGTTCATCATAGAGACGTACTTTTTTTCTAAAAGAGCAGGACAGGCCAAAGCCCAACGACGAAGCGATCACTACTCACGATTTAGATTCATGGTCTGCACGGAAGTCTTTGCTTTTGCAGTGCTTGAAACACCAAAAAGTGCCAAGATCAACTTCACAAAGGAGGGCAAGACGTAAAAAAAAAGGTAAATGCAAGGAAGTAAGAACGCTCATGCGTCTGGAGTCAAGAAGTGTAGGGGTGAGATATGTTCATAAAAGTGTAGTCAAGTAGACTATCATCAAGAAGTAGAAGAGTCATTAAAAAAGATTTAGTAGTACGAGGGTGGGTTGCCAGGTGACTGGCATGTGAAGGAAAGAAAAGTTTGGAAAACGAAGAGTTCAAGCAAAGGAAGAACAGAGAGTAGAGACAAGAACAAGAAAAAACAGGGAGAAGATAACACGGTTTGGTTCTGTGAAGAGTGTGAATTGTGAACCCTACTGAAGACTTCTGTGTGGTAGAGAAGAGTTCATTTCTGTGTCGATTGTCTACTGAGAACTGTGTGTGTCTTGAGTGAGTGCTTTCCCTCGTCTTACTAAATCTTTTTTAATGACCTTTGTGTGATCTATGTTTTCTGTGTCTGTGGTGTCTAACTATAAATTTTTTGGAGTTTGAGAGAAGTCGAGACGAGCAACCGAACCCATTTTGAATTCGACTTTGACGCAGGACTTCGCTGTATATACTAGGGCAATCTGGGAAACACAGTAAACTCCTTCTGGGGCGTTGTCCATGGGCATTTTCATTCCCATGGATTCCGTGCATGGGAATTGTCATTCCCGTGAGTACCGTCGCCAAGACGGTATTTCAACGCCGTCAAGCCGTTCTTTCGTCTTTGAGTGTTTCAAGGACAACCCGTCTTTGACTATTTGGGTTGTCCTTGCTTTAATTGTTCGAGCGCTTGGTGTAAGAGTTGTGGCCCTACCGTCTTTTTTGACTGTCGAAAGGCTTCTAAAACACCATACTTTAACCCCTGTTGCCAATTTCTCTGGACGGTTTCTTGACCTTTCTGTTCAATTTGTGAAAGGATCTGCAATTTGTTTCTCAACTGTGTCGCAAACGTTGCTTGTAATCCTGCTTCTCGTGTTGAGTGTAGGGTTCTGAGTTCTTTACAACTTTGTTCACGTAACTGAGCCACTTGTCCCTCTAACAATAATGCTTTCTTATACTCTGTTAAAAGATCTTGCAATAAGGCTTCTTTCACGTCTAAATATTTTTGTAACTCTTTTTGGATCGTTTCTTTACGGAAAGTGAAAGCTTCGCGAATACTTTCTCCCAGAGTAATGCTACTAAAAATTAAAAACGCAATAAAGCTTAAACCAATGAGAATTTCTTCATTATAAATAATAATATTTTTCGAGCTTAAGACTAAGAATGTCAACCCACCAAAAAGTAAGGTCGAGGCATTCTGTTGGATAAGTTTGAAGGACATAAGGTTTGTCTTTTTTTCTCGGAGTCCTAGAGACTCCAGGGTTTGTGTACACAAACCCCTTTCCCACCACGGGAACTTTACTGCCCAAGGGCGAAGGTTCGACTCTTTTACGGAGTCCAAGAGACTCAAGTCAGCCTTGTACCAAACCATGGTTTTGGTAAACTCTGGTGCTCTCTAAATGCTTAACGTTTCTTCTTCGTACCTTTCTTTCCACCCTTCCCTTTCGCGGTCAAAGGCCCGAAAAGTTTTCGTAGAAAGTACTCTTGTACAAAGGTGTGACCAGAGTGTGTAAAACCGCATGCAGGGTAAGCCGACATAGGTAAAAGTTTTTTCAATTGATTTTTCGTCATGTTATTCGCAGTAATCTCGTCCCCAAGTTTCGCTTGGTATTGTGTTTGTACATTTTGGAAATGCTCTTGGTTCGTTTTTTGTACGGTTTTTTCTACCCACCCCGCGGTTGTTTCAAAACTACTTTGAAGCGCTTGTTTTGATTGATTTAAACTTTTTCGAACTGCTTGTTGCATCGTTTGGAGAACTCGTTCTTGTTCTTGCTCGTAAGTATTTTCTTTGCTCTCTTGTGTGAGGCTAACTTTATGTTCTCTCATTTTGAGAACCCTTGTAATTTTTGGTAAATAAAATTTGAGGAGTGTGAGATAGAAAACCGAAATTGTGAGAGTGAGCCAAAAAAATTGTGTAAAATACGAAACTTTATCGAGTTGAGGCATCTGTGGCGTCTTTTTTTGTATAATTTATTCATCGTTTCAAAGGTGAGTTGTGGGGAAAGTGGCCGAGTGGTTGAAGGCGGCAGACTGTAAATCTGTTGAATTAAATCTACGTAGGTTCAAATCCTACCTTTCCCATGTGGTTAGATAACATAACGGTAATGTACTGGATTGCAAATCCGAGAATGACGGTTCGATTCCGTCTCTAACCTTCACGGCGGGTATAACTTAATCGGTTAAAGTATCAGACTGTGACTCTGAAAATACGAGTTCAATTCTCGTTACTCGCCTTCAGCAGTTTTAAAAAAAGCAAATTTTTGTTTTGCAACTTTGCGCAAAAAACGACGCTTGGTTTTTTGATTCGTTGTAAAGTGCCGAGACTTTCATGTTCTAAAGAACTTAAACGCTGCAAATCGTAGAAGTTCACGTAAACATCCCGGATTTTTCCATGAACCAATACCAATGGTTTATTTTGCGTTTTCATCCAAGAATTTTTTTGAAAAAAAAGGTTTTTCACAATCTTTTTAAACGCCTCCAACGAGCCGCAAGTTAGCAAGGCTGTTGTTCCGTGCGAGCTCATCACCGATGTTTGAGACAACGCCTTGGTGCCTTGTTTTTTCATGAGTGATCTTCGTACGACTTGGAGTTTCGCGGAACTCTCCATTGTAGAGATCTCGTGTTTTAAGAGACCCCATGTTACGCACTGTACAGGCACAAGCTGTAAAAAAAGTTGGTATGGACTGTTTGCCATCTCTTGAACGACTTTTTTATTTGTTTTTTTTTTCCATTGCATTTGAAAAACTTTTTTTGTTTTTACCATAGATCTTTTAGATTTCCGTTTAATCAGGCTTTCGTTAAAAAAAGTAATTTTTTATGTCTTCAAACGCTGAATACGTTTTATCCAAAGTAGATAATTTAATTAATTGGGCTCGCCAAGGATCTCTGTGGCCCATGACATTTGGTTTAGCCTGTTGCGCAGTTGAGATGATGCACACAGGGGCGGCTCGTTACGATTTGGATCGTTTTGGTATTATTTTTCGCCCAAGCCCTAGGCAGTCCGACGTTATGATCGTCGCTGGGACATTAACCAACAAAATGGCACCGGCTTTACGCAAAGTTTATGACCAAATGCCCGAACCGCGTTGGGTTATTTCGATGGGAAGTTGTGCAAATGGAGGGGGTTACTACCATTATTCCTACTCAGTTGTCCGAGGGTGTGACCGAATTCTCCCAGTTGATATTTATGTTCCAGGGTGCCCTCCAACGGCTGAAGCTCTTTTGTATGGAATTTTACAGTTACAGAAAAAAATTCATCAAAATAAGAATACGGTTCTCTGGTATACTCAGTAGAATTTGCCAGGAGTCTCTTTTCTAGAAGATCGTCTGTTAAAAAAAGAAGCTTTTATGCAAACCTCTTTTGATTCTTTGGTTCTTAGGATGGTTCCGAAATGGGTTTCCAAATACACTTTGCAAACCAACGAAATGACATTTACAATTTTCCCCCAATCCGTGTTCGGTTTTTTTTATTTTTTAAAAAACCATACCGCAACCCAATTCAAAATGCTTGTCGATATTACGGCGGTAGACTACCCATCCAGAGCAAACCGATTTGAAGTGGTCTACCATCTCTTAAGCTTGCAGTACAACACCCGGCTCCGTGTCAAAGTCCCTGTCAATGAAAATATTGCAATCGATTCAATTACTTCGATTTACCCCACTGCGAACTGGTTCGAGAGAGAGACATGGGATATGTTTGGTATTTGTTTTCTCAACCACCCGGATCTCCGACGCTTGCTTACGGACTACGGCTTTGAAGGACACCCATTACGTAAAGACTTTCCACTCAGTGGCTACATCGAATTTCGATATGATGATTCAAAGAAACGCGTCGTTTCGGAACCTATTGAATTAAGCCAAGATTTTCGTTTCTTTGACTTTTCTAGCCCTTGGGAATTAATGCAACACAAATAAAGTAATTCTTTATTGGCATGGCGCTTTTTTTTATTTTCTGTGTGCCAATTACTGCAGGGTTGATGTACACATAACACTTCGTCATGTGTACATCAATGAAACTTACTCCCAATCGAGAGCACCTTTTCTCCATTCATAGACGAAACCAATCGTCAGAATACATAAAAAAATAACCATCGACCAAAACCCAAAAAGCTCAACTTTATTTAAAGAAATGGCCCAGGGGAAGAGGAATGTCACTTCAAGATCAAAAATAATGAAAAGAATGGCTACAAGATAAAACCGGATATCAAACCGAGCACGGGCGTCATCAAAAGGGTCGAAACCGCATTCGTAAGCCGACACTTTTTCTGGATCTGCTTTTTGGGTAGAAAACACAAAAGAGAGGCCTAAAATTAACATGGACAAAAGAAAACTTACTCCAATCAGTAAAAGTAAAGGGATATACTCGTTCATACATTCTTCTTTTTTTGAATACATGGGTGTTTAGCTCAGCTGGTAGAGCATCTCGCTTACACCGAGAAAGTCAGCGGTTCGAACCCGTTAGCACCTACATAAATCAGGGAAAATAGCTTAATTGGGTAGAGTCCTGGCCTGTCACGCCAGTGGGCGCGGGTTCGAACCCCGTTTTTCCCGAACCTTTTAGACACTATCGATCTACTTCACCAAAAACGATGTCTTGTGTTCCAATAATTGTTACCACGTCTGCTAATAAATGCTTCTTTGCCATAAAATCTAAAGCTTGCAGATGAACAAAACCTGGCGCACGAATTTTGCAACGGTATGGTTTGTTAGTACCATTGCTTACCAAATAAACACCGAACTCACCTTTAGGCGCTTCCACTGCCGTATAAGTTTCAGAAGCAGGAACGACAAAGCCTTCGGTATACAATTTAAAATGGTGAATTAAAGATTCCATAGACTCTTTGACGTGGCTTTTTGACGGAGGCGTAATTTTTCGGTCATCCACTTTAATGGGGCCTTGTGGAAGTTTATTTAAACATTCAGCAATTAATTTTAGACTCTGTCGCATTTCCTCAATTCGGATCAAATATCTGTCGTAGCAATCACCTTGTGTCCCAACGGGGATATCAAATTGTAAATCACTATAGACGTCATAAGGTTGTGTTTTACGTAGATCCCAAGAAACACCTGAACCTCGAAGCATTACACCAGAGAAACCCCATTGGATGGCTTCATCAGCAGTGACGGTCCCAATGTCTACTAAACGTTGTTTCCAGATTCGGTTGTTCGTCAACATTTCTTCCATCTCATCAATTCGCGAAGCGAATGTCTGGCAAAATTTATGCAAATCGTCACACAGACCCTGCGGTAAATCTTGAGCAACACCCCCTGGGCGAATATAAGCAGCATGAAAACGTGCACCTGAAACGCGTTCGTAAAACTCCATTAACTTTTCTCTTTCTTCAAAGGCCCAAAGAAAAGGTGTCAATGCCCCAACGTCCATGGCGTGGCAGCTTAAAGCCAACAAATGGTTCAAAATTCTTGTAATTTCCGCAAAGAGAACTCTAATGTACTGAGCACGCAAAGGTACCTGGCAGTGCAAAAGTTTTTCAACGGTTAACGAATACCCGTGCTCTTGTGCCATAGTTGAGACATAATCAAGTCGATCAAAGTATGGTAAAGCTTGCATGTAATTTTTGTATTCAATTAATTTTTCTGTACCTCGGTGTAAAAGCCCAATATGGGGATCCGCGCGCTCAACAATTTCGCCATTCATTTCTAAAATTAAACGAAGAACCCCGTGTGCGGCTGGATGTTGTGGTCCAAAGTTTAGGGTAAAATTTTTAAACTTTTTCCCCGGTGAATTCTGTAAAGTAGCCATTAAAATAATCTTTTTTTTATTTGATAAGAACACATAAGGAGGTATGGCTGAGTGGCTGAAGGTATTGGTTTGCTAAATCAACGTGCAATTTAATGCACCATGGGTTCGAATCCCATTTCCTCCGAATACTTGTTATTTAGATTCGTTCTTTTTGAAAAGGGAGTGTAGTTCAATTGGCAGAACGCATGCTTTGCAAGCATGAAGTTATCGGTTCAAGTCCGATCATTTCCAAAGTTCCATTTTTGAAAAAAATACATTTTTATGACTTACCAACTTATTCTTTCTTTGAAATCTTTTGAACCAAAATTGATTGAAAATTACCTTAAAAACGTTCAAAGTCTAGCTCATAAACTAAAGAATGAACAGCTTGTGGGACGCTCTGTGAGCTCTTTAAGAAATACGGGCGCGTCACCGACTAAAATTAGAAAAATTACAGTACTAAGCTCACCCCATATCGATAAAAAAGCTCGCGAACAGTTCGAAATGCGTGTTTTTCAAAAACATTTAAGAGTGGATACTTTTTCTACTTTTCTCGAGTTTTTTCTGTTTGTAGACCTCTTTAAAGCTATTGCATCCGTCGGTGTACAAAGCAAACTCAAGTTCCAAACACGAACCAAACTTTAAAATAAAAAATACGAAAGGTGGGATTTGAACCCACACACAACTTTTGTACTACCCCCTCAAGGTAACGCGTCTGCCAAATTTCGCCACTTTCGCTCTACTGCCGCCAAAAAAAGATTGCTTCAAATATGGCCCGATCTCTTTGGAAAGGTCCGTTCTTGGACCAATTTGTATTAAAAAAGCTTTTATCTGCTGATGCACCCGCGCCAATTAAAATTTGGTCGCGGCGTTCTTATATTTTGCCTCAATTTGTCGAACAAACATTTGCTATTTATACGGGAAAGTCTTTCCTTTCTGTTAAAATTACAGAGGAAATGATTGGCCATAAATTTGGCGAATTTGCGAGCACTCGAAAAAAACCTGTGCATAAGAAAAAAGAGAAAAAAAAATAACATGGGACAAAAAAGCACACCAACAAGCCTTCGAATCGGGCTAAATCGACACTTCTCACATACCTGGTTTGCAGATCGACTTTTTGGCTCTCTTTTTCACCAACAAAAAAAATGTCAAGAGTTTGTCCAGACTCTGCTGAAATCCATTGGGGTTCGGACAGAGAGGTCTCACTTTCAACAAGCCCCGCATAGTTTACGAATGCATAGTTTTTTTTGTGATCCTCGTATTTTTGAAAGTCAGTATCAAACAAAGCTTGCTTCTTTAGTAACGACGGGTTTTTTCCAAAATGCTTCCCAGTTATTTGTTTTTTCACCAGATCAACCTCAAAAAAAATTTAGTTGGTTTTTAACTCAGCAACAAAAAACATGGGACGAGGCAAAAAAATTTATGATCATTAACTTTTTTTTGTTGCAATACCAAAAAGCGAAATCGAAAAAAATCTCGGTTTACCAAACGCCTTTAGAAACGAAAAACCACCTTATTTTTGGGAGATATCAAAAAACTGCGAACAAGGCCTCCGAAGTCCAATTTTATCAAAAACATATTAGCCAGATTTTAACCCACTACGCAAAAAGTGAAGTTTCTTGGCATCCTGTTAAAGTTAAATCATCAACAAAAACAGCGCATTTTATTGCGCATCAAGCTGCCAACCAATTGGAGCAGAATACTCCTTTTAGACAAATTTTTAAACACCTAGTTCAAACAGTTAAAAAAGAAGAAACAATTCAAGGTTTTAAAATTACCTGCGCGGGGCGTCTTGGTGGTGCGGAAATGGCACGCGTTGAGTCAAAAAGGTTCGGACAAACATCTTTGCATACCTTTTTTCAAAAGATTGAATATGCTTCAGTCTGCGCTTACACTCCCTACGGCTTGATTGGTGTAAAAGTTTGGGTATCCTATAAACCCAATACGTAAAAAAGAATTTTCAATATGCTCCAACCAAAAAAAACCAAATACCGTAAATTCCAAAAAGGTCGAGTCGGTGGAGTCAAAATGAACTCTCTTTCTTTTGGCTCTTTTGGTATTCAATCTGTACACTGTGGGCGTCTTTCCGCTTCGGTCATTGAAGCCACTCGCCGAGTCATGACCCGCAAACTCAAACGAAGTGGACAAATTTGGATTCGGGTTTTCCCAGATAAGCCCGTCAGCAAAAAGCCTGCGGAAGTTCGTATGGGAAAAGGAAAAGGTTCCCCTGAATTTTGGGCTTGTTCGATTCAACAAGGGCAAATTCTCTTTGAACTCGATGGTGTCTCACCAGAGTCTGCGTATCAAGCTTTTCGTTTAGCAAGCCAAAAATTACCGGTACGAACACAGTTTGTGGTTGATCCGTTATCGTCTTTTCGCCCTAATGTTAAATCTGTACTGAACAAAGAAAAAAGAAAAGATTTATGATTCAAGTAGGGACTCTTCTCGCTATTTCAGATAATTCAGGCGCAAAAAAAGCAAAATGCATTAAAATCCTGAAAAAAACAAAAAAAAACATGGGTCAGGTCGGTGATTTAATTGTGGTTAGCCTTCAAGAAACGAACCCGAAGAATAACACGAAGACACTTAAGAAAGGCCAACTTTTTAAAGCGGTTCTTCTAGAAACAAAACGGCCGAAACGTCGTCAAGACGGTACTTCTTACACTTTCCAACGAAATTCAGCGGCCCTTCTTTCTGCCCAGGGATCTCCTCTTGGCACACGAGTTCAAGGCACTGCTCCTTTTGAAGTTCGCGAAAAGAATTTTATGAAACTTTTGGTCTTGGCTTCTACAACTTTATAAAAAAGCCTCCCAGTGAAAAAAAAACAACGCATGAAACATTCTTCCTCTTCTCTTTTCTGTAGAGATTTTTTGCTTAAAGTAAATGCTAGAAATTCATTTGAAATTCCTCAACTCTCTCATATTTCGATCAATTTGACAAGCCGTTATATTGTTGCAGAAAAAAAACACAGTCTTTTCCCTATGGTAAGTTTAAGTCTTCTTTCAGGCCAACACCCGAAGTTGTTGAGAGCAAAAAAGTCTGTCGCGGGGTTTAAATTAAAAAAGAATTCAATTCTTGGGTGCAAATTGACTTTACGAAGGGTAAAAATGACATCTTTTTTAGATACTCTGGCATTGGTTGTTCTTCCACAAATTAAAAGAGACCCTCTTTTTTCTGAACGCACTTTATCAGAGCCGGGGGTACTGCAGCTTGGTTTCACAGAATTCTTATTTTTTCCTGAATTAGAAAAAAATTTTGAACTTTTTGAAATGATGCGAGGGTGCTCTATTCAATTTCATACGACGACAAAGGCAGACTTTGAAAAAAAACTCCTATTTACGTCATATAACTTCCCAGCTTACCAAAGAATGGCCTAAAAAAAGAAAATGGAAATGAACAACGCAGTCTTAAAAGATGGAAACCTTAGAACTCTCGTTGCCCGTAGTGAACAACAGAGAATCTTGTATAAGGCAATTTTACAAGATCGCAGCTTACCACAATCTCTTCGATATGAGTTTATGTTAAAATTAAATAAAGTATCAAAAAAAAGCTCGGCGGTCCGAACAAAAAATCGTTGTGTTCTGAGTGGGCGTGGCAAGGGTGTTCTTCGGGCATTCAAATGTTCACGAATTGTTTTGAGGGAACTCGTTTCAAATGGTGAAATCGTAGGACTCACGAAGTCCAGTTGGTAATTTTTTGACGCAAAAGTCTACATTGGTTTAAAAAAAGATGTTTTATGACAAATTTAAGTCAAGCTCTGTGTTCTATTCAAAACGCTCAACAAGCACATCGACGCTCTTTGTCGGTCCCGTTTTCCAAACTGGTCTGGTCTCTTTTAAAAATTTTACTTGTTCACGGTTATATTAAAGGTTTTTTTCGTCAAAAAGGGTCTATTAATATTTTTCTAAAGCAAAACGAAGAGGGTAAGGGTCTCAGAAAAATTCAGCAAATTTCTCGATCGAAACAAAGAGTTTATGTTTCCTGTAAAAAGTTGCCCACTCTGGAAAATGGGTTAGGCCTTTTAATCCTTTCCACACCTAAGGGTGTGTGTACAAGCCAACAAGCCCAAAAGAATCGTGTTGGGGGTGAGATCCTTTGCCAAGTTTTTTAAAAGGGTTTCTTTGTACAAGTATTCACAAAAAAAAAGAGTTGTCTATGCGACCGGTGGCATTAACCAGTTTTAAAAAGCGTTGCATTGTACCAGCGACGGTTCAAATGTTTCTTCAAAATTCAGTTCTCGAAGTTGAGGGGCCGCTAGGAAAAGCAGAACTCCATTTAAAAACATACGACAAAAAAGGGGGCTTTTCCGTGAAACTCGTACAACACCCACAAGCGCATCAAGAGCTCCATTTTAGAACGCGGGGGCAAGAGGGTCAAAAAACGTTACACACAGTAACGTCTACCCTTATGCAGTATATCGAAGGGCTTACCAAAGGGGTTTTTCTTTCTGTAGAACTGGTTGGTGTTGGTTTTAAGGCAAACGTTTCTCACACTGCTGTGGAACTTCGAGTTGGTTACAGCCACCCTGTGACACTTGCTATTCCAAACGATGTAAAAATTTTTGTTCCGAAGGCAACAATAATTTGTTTATTTGGTGTAAGCAAAAAAAGGGTCTCCCAGGTAGCCGCTACACTTTTAGCGTTAAAGCCTGTTGAGCCTTACAAAGGGAAGGGTGTTCAGCTTAAAGATTCGACCGTTATTCGAAAACCCGGTAAAAAAAAATAGTGTCTATGGTTCTTTTATTTCAACAAAACTTTCAAGAACACAAGTTGGTTCGGCAAGAACTTACTAAAGTTTATGGAATCAACAAGTTTTTAGCGCATCAAATTTGTGATTCTCTTGGTTTTGCACTCACTTTAAAAGTTCAAGATTTAACAGCTTCGCAAAAAGAAAAACTTGTGCGTTTGGTTCAACGATATTATGTCACGGGATCTGATTTAAAACGTATTGTCGACCAAGATATTCAAAGGTGTGTTACAGTTGGTTCTTTTAAAGGTTTTCGTTTCATTCAAGGGCTTCCAGTTCGCGGTCAACGCTCGCATACGAACGCTCGGTCGTGCCGGAAGAAAAAAATTGTTTAAAAAGGAGCATCACTATGCGCCATTCTGAAAATACCAAAACCTCCTCTCTGTCTTATATTTGTATTACAACGACTTTAAATAACACAATTCTCAACGTCACAGACATGGCTGGGAATACTCTCCTTTGGGCGTCCGCGGGCAGTGTTGGTTTTAAAGGGTCAAAAAGGTCAACGAGTTATGCTGCCCAAGCAACCGCCGAAAAAATTGCCCAAAACTGCCTCTCTCAAAACTTATTACGTGTACATGTAAAATTAAAAGGTGTTGGTTATGGCAAAGAAGCAGCTTTACGTGGTTTGCACACTTCCGGTTTAAAAATTACAAAAATTGAAGATTTAACACGGGTCCCCTTCAACGGTTGCCGACAAAAAAAGCGTCGTCGTTTGTAATTATTTATGGTTTTAATCTATTTTTTCTGATACTTTTAGACTAGAAATCGTGTGTCATTATTCATTTTTAAATGAACACTTTTTCGAACTGTGGTTGAGATCTAAAAAAAAAGAGTATATGGCTGAAGGTGCAAAATTAATTGGGGCAGGTTGTGCAACGATCGCTTTGGCGGGGGCTGGTGCCGGAATTGGAATTGTTTTTGGTTCTTTTATTAGTTCAGTAGCACGTAACCCTTCATTAACAAAAACTTTATTTGGATATGCAATTTTAGGCTTTGCTTTAACTGAAGCAATTGCCCTTTTTGCTTTAATGATGGCTTTTTTAATTCTTTTTGTTTTTTAAGTTTAATTTTTTAAACGTGTTGAGAATTGGCTTCGCAGACAATTCTCAACGTCCGTCGCTTTGACGTCAAAGCGACGGACCTTTGCTTCGAGTCGCGGATATGATGAAATTGGTAGACATATCAGATTTAGGTTCTGATGAAGTAACTTCGTGGGGGTTCAAATCCCTCTATCCGTACTAAAGGGTATGTAGCTCAATTGGTAGAGCATTAGGCTTTTAACCTACTGGTCACAGGTTCGAATCCTGTCATACTTAAGGCGCGTTTGCGGGATAGAGTAATTGGTAACTCGTCAGGCTCATAACCTGAAAAATGTAGGTTCAAGTCCTACTTCCGCATAACTGCGAGCAAAGCGTCGCACCGTTGGACAGGTGTCTGAGTGGTTGAAGGTCTCAGTCTTGAAAACTGACGTATGACAAGTACCGTGGGTTCGAATCCCACCCTGTCCGAAAAAAGAACAAAATATGTATCTACAAAAAACACCTTCTTTTCTTTTTTCATTGTACACTCTAGATTTGCGGTGGAAAATGAAATATATTTTACTCGGTTGGATAAGCGCATTTGTTTACTGGTTCGAGCATTTTGGTGATCTCTTGCATATTTTTTGTGCACCGGTGTGCACCACGTCACCAGGTAGTTTTACGGACTTTATTTTTACCGAAGCTGCCGAAGCTTTTTATGCGAGTTTACTCATGTCTGCTTATAGTGCCACACTTTTCACATGTCCCTTAGCGTTTTATTTTTTTATCATTTTTTTCCGGCCGAGTTTATTTACCGCGGAAAGTAAACTTTATCAGCAACGAATTTTGGGGAGTCTTCTTTTTCTGTATCTTACGAATACCATGGTTTTGCGGGTACTCCTGCCTATTATTTGGGATTTTTGGGGTGGTTTTGCAATAAACCAAAGAAAAATGTCTTTTCTTCAACCAACCTTGGGATTGTCACCAAAAATTTTGCCTTATATTTTTCTAGTACTTTCTTGTTTTGTGGTCGTTTTTGTTTTCAGTCAATTGCCGTTACTCATGACCGTTTTTTCTCCAGAGAGTGGGCTAAACCCTGAAAATTTTTACAAACGACGTTCGTTTTGGTATTTTGTGCTCATTTTAGTTGCCTCATTTTTGTCCCCCCCTGATTTTTGGTTACAATTTTCTATTGCTTTTTTTCTTTGTAGTTTGTTTGAATGTTTGGTTTTACTTACTTTTTGTACGGCTTTATATAAGGATACAGACTCCTTTGCATAGAGTGCACTGTATCCTTTTGCCTAAAAAAATTTAACGTTTAAAAACTTTGGTAAACTTTTCTGTCTGTACCTTCATAGGATAGTGAACATTTTGTGGAGCAAATAAAATCACAATCTCTAGTGTTTTATAATTCACTTCACAGTAAGTGGTCTTGTACCAAACCACGGTGTTGGTAAAATCTCGTTCTTTTTTTGCGCTGAAGTTTTTCAAACCGCTTTGTTCTTCTTGACGATTCAAAAAATCACGCATAGTTTGTCTAACTTGGTCTTGGGCTTCGTCATCTAAACTGATTACGTCACCAGGATATAATTGAAAAGACGGCACTTGGATAAGTACCCCGTTCACCTTAACTTTCTGGTGGCTAATAAGTTGGCGGGCATGGGCAAAACTCCCCGCAAAATGGTTTTTTACCAGCACGGTATCTAAACGTTTTTCCAAAAAACTGATCATATTTTGACTCACGCTGCCTTTTCGCTGAAAACTCTTTTGAAAAAGAGTGGTTAAATATTTAGCTCTGAGACCGCCATACAAAAAAGCAACACTTTTTTTAATCTCGAGTTGAACCCCAAAATTTGATTTTTTTTTTAACGCTTGTTGTTTTTGTACTTTTTGCATAATTTTTTGTTGTTTGGGGGTCACTTTTTTGAAAGGCCTTAAATTTAACCCAAACCGTTTAGAAAGTTTCATGTGATTTTCTGTTGACATAAATGTTCCTTTTCTTAGTCAAACTTTTTTTACTTACTATCGGACTTGAACCGATACCCTAAAAAGGAACAGATTTTAAGTCTGTCGTGTATACCAATTTCACCAAGTAAGCTTTTTTACGGGTAAAGGGAATCGAACCCATATCTTCTGTGTGGAAAACAGATAATCTACCATTAATCTATACCCGCGAGTTCTTTTTATAATCTATATTCTCAAGGTCCTAAGTGTTTGCCTTACAAAAAGGAGGAAAGTCCGAACTTTGAATTTGTGCGAGTGAAAAGCTCGCGAGAGAAATCTCAGGGAAAGTGTAAGAGCAGTTTTTATGAAAAGCGTTTGGTATGACAACATACCTAAATGAAAAACCCCCACAAGAAGCAAGACAACATCGCATTATATTAGGTGGAAACCTGAAATAAGATAAATAAACACATCTTTTACCGAAAATAAGGTAAATGGATACAAAATTCGGCTTACGTCGACCTTGAAGCTTTTCTTGTATTCTTAGCTCAGTTGGATAGAGCACCAGCCTTCTAAGCTGTTGGTCACAGGTTCGAGTCCTGTAGAATATAAAATACTGGAAAGCAGGGTATAGCGCAGTTTGGTAGCGTATCTGTTTTGGGTACAGAAGGTCGTAGGTTCAAATCCTGCTACCCTGATTGCTCTTTGAAAAAGAATACTAATATGACTGAATTAAATTATTTGCTCGTTTCTTGCACGCTTTTTTTGTTAGGGATTTGGGGTATTTTTTTAAATCGTAAAAATATTATTATCATGCTAATGTCGATTGAACTGATGCTGTTAGCGGTTAATTTTAACTTTCTCATTTTTTCAGTTTATTTAGATGACCTCATGGGCCAAATTTTTTCGCTGTTTATTTTAACAGTGGCGGCTGCAGAATCCTCAATTGGGCTAGCTCTTCTTGTTATTTATTATCGTAAACAACAAACTATTGCTGTAGAATTTATTAATCTTTTAAAAGGTTAATGGTTCATGAAGAGAGACGGAATCGAACCGTCATTCTCGGATTTGCAATCCAGTACATTACCGTTATGTTATCTAACCACATGGGAAAGGTAGGATTTGAACCTACGTAGATTTAATTCAACAGATTTACAGTCTGCCGCCTTCAACCACTCGGCCACTTTCCCCACAACTCACCTTTGAAACGATGAATAAATTATACAAAAAAAGACGCCACAGATGCCTCAACTCGATAAAGTTTCGTATTTTACACAATTTTTTTGGCTCACTCTCACAATTTCGGTTTTCTATCTCACACTCCTCAAATTTTATTTACCAAAAATTACAAGGGTTCTCAAAATGAGAGAACATAAAGTTAGCCTCACACAAGAGAGCAAAGAAAATACTTACGAGCAAGAACAAGAACGAGTTCTCCAAACGATGCAACAAGCAGTTCGAAAAAGTTTAAATCAATCAAAACAAGCGCTTCAAAGTAGTTTTGAAACAACCGCGGGGTGGGTAGAAAAAACCGTACAAAAAACGAACCAAGAGCATTTCCAAAATGTACAAACACAATACCAAGCGAAACTTGGGGACGAGATTACTGCGAATAACATGACGAAAAATCAATTGAAAAAACTTTTACCTATGTCGGCTTACCCTGCATGCGGTTTTACACACTCTGGTCACACCTTTGTACAAGAGTACTTTCTACGAAAACTTTTCGGGCCTTTGACCGCGAAAGGGAAGGGTGGAAAGAAAGGTACGAAGAAGAAACGTTAAGCATTTAGAGAGCACCAGAGTTTACCAAAACCATGGTTTGGTACAAGGCTGACTTGAGTCTCTTGGACTCCGTAAAAGAGTCGAACCTTCGCCCTTGGGCAGTAAAGTTCCCGTGGTGGGAAAGGGGTTTGTGTACACAAACCCTGGAGTCTCTAGGACTCCGAGAAAAAAAGACAAACCTTATGTCCTTCAAACTTATCCAACAGAATGCCTCGACCTTACTTTTTGGTGGGTTGACATTCTTAGTCTTAAGCTCGAAAAATATTATTATTTATAATGAAGAAATTCTCATTGGTTTAAGCTTTATTGCGTTTTTAATTTTTAGTAGCATTACTCTGGGAGAAAGTATTCGCGAAGCTTTCACTTTCCGTAAAGAAACGATCCAAAAAGAGTTACAAAAATATTTAGACGTGAAAGAAGCCTTATTGCAAGATCTTTTAACAGAGTATAAGAAAGCATTATTGTTAGAGGGACAAGTGGCTCAGTTACGTGAACAAAGTTGTAAAGAACTCAGAACCCTACACTCAACACGAGAAGCAGGATTACAAGCAACGTTTGCGACACAGTTGAGAAACAAATTGCAGATCCTTTCACAAATTGAACAGAAAGGTCAAGAAACCGTCCAGAGAAATTGGCAACAGGGGTTAAAGTATGGTGTTTTAGAAGCCTTTCGACAGTCAAAAAAGACGGTAGGGCCACAACTCTTACACCAAGCGCTCGAACAATTAAAGCAAGGACAACCCAAATAGTCAAAGACGGGTTGTCCTTGAAACACTCAAAGACGAAAGAACGGCTTGACGGCGTTGAAATACCGTCTTGGCGACGGTACTCACGGGAATGACAATTCCCATGCACGGAATCCATGGGAATGAAAATGCCCATGGACAACGCCCCAGAAGGAGTTTACTGTGTTTCCCAGATTGCCCTAGTATATACAGCGAAGTCCTGCGTCAAAGTCGAATTCAAAATGGGTTCGGTTGCTCGTCTCGACTTCTCTCAAACTCCAAAAAATTTATAGTTAGACACCACAGACACAGAAAACATAGATCACACAAAGGTCATTAAAAAAGATTTAGTAAGACGAGGGAAAGCACTCACTCAAGACACACACAGTTCTCAGTAGACAATCGACACAGAAATGAACTCTTCTCTACCACACAGAAGTCTTCAGTAGGGTTCACAATTCACACTCTTCACAGAACCAAACCGTGTTATCTTCTCCCTGTTTTTTCTTGTTCTTGTCTCTACTCTCTGTTCTTCCTTTGCTTGAACTCTTCGTTTTCCAAACTTTTCTTTCCTTCACATGCCAGTCACCTGGCAACCCACCCTCGTACTACTAAATCTTTTTTAATGACTCTTCTACTTCTTGATGATAGTCTACTTGACTACACTTTTATGAACATATCTCACCCCTACACTTCTTGACTCCAGACGCATGAGCGTTCTTACTTCCTTGCATTTACCTTTTTTTTTACGTCTTGCCCTCCTTTGTGAAGTTGATCTTGGCACTTTTTGGTGTTTCAAGCACTGCAAAAGCAAAGACTTCCGTGCAGACCATGAATCTAAATCGTGAGTAGTGATCGCTTCGTCGTTGGGCTTTGGCCTGTCCTGCTCTTTTAGAAAAAAAGTACGTCTCTATGATGAACTTCATCAACCGTTGGCTCTTTTCAACGAACCATAAAGATATTGGTACACTCTACCTTATCTTCGGTGCATTCTCTGGAGTCCTAGGGTCTATGTTCTCTCTTCTCTTACGTATGGAATTGGCACAGCCTGGAAACCAGATTCTGGCAGGAAATCACCAATTGTATAATGTCATCGTGACGGCGCACGCGTTTCTCATGATCTTTTTCATGGTTATGCCAGCCTTAATCGGTGGCTTTGGAAACTGGTTTGTCCCAATCATGATCGGTGCGCCGGATATGGCCTTTCCACGTTTAAATAATATTAGTTTCTGGCTCTTACCACCTTCTCTTCTTTTACTCTTAAGTAGTGCTCTCGTCGAAGTTGGTGCGGGAACAGGATGGACGGTTTACCCTCCTCTAAGTCATATTACGAGCCACTCTGGTGGTGCAGTTGATTTAGCTATTTTCAGTTTACATTTATCTGGAGCGAGCAGTATTTTAGGGGCGATTAACTTTATTACCACTATCTTTAACATGCGTGGGCCTGGTCTGGGCTTCCATCGCTTACCTTTATTTGTGTGGTCTGTTCTGATTACGGCCTTCTTACTTCTTCTCTCTTTACCGGTTTTAGCGGGAGCGATTACGATGCTGTTAACGGATCGTAACTTCAATACCTCGTTCTTTGATCCGGCGGGCGGAGGTGACCCTATTTTGTTCCAGCACCTTTTTTGGTTTTTTGGACACCCGGAAGTGTATATCTTGATTCTTCCAGGTTTTGGTATTGTGAGCCATATTATTAGTACATTCTCAAGAAAACCCATTTTTGGTTACTTAGGTATGGTTTATGCAATGCTAAGTATTGGTGTTTTAGGCTTCATTGTCTGGGCGCACCATATGTATGTTATTGGTTTAGATGTGGATACTCGTGCTTATTTCACCGCGGCCACGATGATTATTGCGGTTCCTACCGGAATTAAGATCTTTAGTTGGATTGCGACGGCTTGGGGTGGTTCCATCACCTTCCGTACGCCGATGCTTTTTGCATTAGGTTTTATCTTTTTATTTACGGTTGGTGGTCTGACCGGTGTTATTCTGGCCAATGCTGGGATTGATATTGCATTACATGACACTTATTACGTGGTTGCGCATTTTCATTATGTGCTCTCTATGGGTGCGGTCTTTGCTCTTTTTGCGGGTTTTTACTACTGGATTGGTAAAATTTCTGGTTACCAGTACCCAGAAGTTCTTGGCCAAATTCATTTTTGGTTATTTTTTATTGGGGTCAATATCACTTTTTTCCCTATGCATTTTCTAGGACTCGCTGGTATGCCTCGACGTATCCCAGATTATCCTGACGCGTTTGCAGGGTGGAATTTGATCTGTAGTTATGGTTCTTATTTATCAATTTTAGCCAGCCTCTTCTTTTTCTATGTTGTTTACGCAACATTAACACAAGGTGAAAAGTGTGGTATTAACCCATGGGCAGTGGAAGGTGAATCAACAACGTCAACTTTAGAGTGGACGGTGGCGTCTCCTCCGGCTTTCCATACTTTTGAAGAAATTCCGGCGATTAAGGAGCCTTCTTCACACCCTGTTTTACGTTAATTAATTCAGTTTTGGAAGAGCAAGGGGTCGATTTTTTCGACCCCTTTTTTTACTCTAAATCCTTTTTTGTCCAAATTTCAGAAAGTGAGCTAACGCATGAAATCAGCCGCCTGGGGACTACGGCCGCAAGGCTAAAACCCAAAGGAATTGACGGGGGCTTACACAAGCGGTGGAGCATGTGGTTTAATTCGAAACAACGCGCAAAACCTTACCAATCCTTGACATATGAAAAACCAGGGTGTTTACCCGCTCTGTCTCTTTTATACAGGTGCTGCATGGCTGTCGTCAGTTCGTGGTGTGAGCTGTTGGGTTAAGTCCCAGAACGAACGCAACCCTCCTTTGAAATGAAGGTTTACCTTTTTCAAAGACTGCCAAGGATATCTTGGAGGAAGGTGAGGATGACGTCAAGTCCGCATGGCCCTTATGGGTTGGGCTACACACGTGCTACAATGGGAATGACAAAAGGAGGCAACATGGCAACATTGAGCAAATCCCAAAAAGTTTCCTTAGTTCGGATTGTTCTCTGCAACTCGAGAACATGAAGTTGGAATCGCTAGTAATCGTAGATCAGCACGCTACGGTGAATTTGTATCTAAGCCTTGTACACACCGCCCGTCACACTCTGAAAATTTTCATGCCTTGAAGCAAAAGAAGTTCACCAAGAACACACAGCGCAATTAAAAAAAAAACATCTTCCCTTTTTTTTCTGTGTCTTTGTTGGAACCTTTTCTAGAGTTAGGGAGGTGATTGGAGTGAAGTCGTAACAAGGTAGCTGTAGGGGAACCTGTAGCTGGAGAGACTCCTTTTTTTTTAAAAATTGAACATGAATGTTCGAGAACTTTATGAGTTTGATCCTGGCTCAGAATGAACGCTAGCGATAAGCTTAACACATGCAAGTTGAATGTTGTCGTACAACATGGCGTACGGGTGAGTAAGACGTAAGAATCTACCAAAAAATTGTGGGTCAATCCTCAATATCTCGTGGACGAGTAAAGATATCTGGTATCGTTT